TGTGGGGATTTCCATGAACATTTTTTATTTATGGAAACAAATGATTGTTTTGAAATAATTCACTGGACAGTTTAAAAACTGTTTCGCTGAATCAGCCTTCTTCTCCCAATTGCTATGTTTGGCTAATGAAATTTAAAACAGAGACACTGCTAAATATATCTTACTTAGTGCTTTCATATTCGCAAGTCGTGACATGAGGAACAGGCAGGAAACCGTCCTCAGGTACAGTCTTTAGAAAACTTAATGGCTAAATAAAATGCGTATTAAAAGCAGTTTAATGTTAACAAAACTAATACTGGATGAATCCTAAACATTTAACATAATCCCCTAACTCTACTTCAGTACTCATCATTAAATCTCATCATAAATATCTGGAACCAAGGGTCTGGAAATGTTTCTACTGTTTATTTTAAACCCTCATTGCTTCAAGAACAAAGCAAAAAAGAAAATGAATGAACAAAAGGCTCCAAATGACTACCGCAATATATCATCTATAATTTATTCCAGTTAAATGACTATCAAAGGTCATCTCCGACATGGAAGCTTTCCGGGATGCACCTGACCACACGCCATCAGCACTGGCACATAATACAATCATAAATTGAGCTCCTTTGGCAGCTGAGAGGTCTCATCTAAAGCATCCCACATGAAAGACCAGGACACCCAATCTGATTTGACATTTTAAAACACAATGAACTCATGACGCCTTCAGAAATCAATCAAATTGACCTATTACAGACAAAATGCATCTTTTCTTGAGCCCATAAGAAAATGCAGCTGCGGCAGTGGACTGTGCACATGCTCTGGACTTAAGAGCTTATGCTTTGAAAGTTTGGATAAGGACCCAGGTCTGAGTGGCTCAGTTTACATTCTTATTTCCTAAAAAAGGGTAAAAAGACTAAAAATAAAAGAGCAAAACAAAAGCAACATCATTATGTTCTATATCAATGCATTTCCGATAACATTTTATTTTCAAGATGTTAAATGAGTCGTTTTACGCGAGCACACACTGCAATCGAGTGACCCTGACATTCAGCATTGAACTTGAAGCACAGAGGAATGTACGGGACTCTTCAGCCCTTATAATGTGACTAATATAGCTGCAGACTCTGAGTAAGTGCATGCATGTGTGCGAACTCCAAAAGCATTCAGTTATTACAAAATCTGCAGCCCACCGAGATCAAAGAGGAAAACCATGAAACAATGCCAGTCATTCCTTCACTATCTGTGAAGTAGGCCTGGGCGATAAAACGGTATCGATATTTATCGACGGTACACCTTCTTCGATAACGATAGAAAATTTTTTCGATATAGTGCACGATATAGGCACGTGCTATGAGTGACGCAGACAGCACACACAAACACGAACACATGCTGAATTGAGTGCTGTGCCTGCCCGTGATGAGGAGATTGTGAATAAAAAAATGATTAGTCGAATTTAAAATAAACATTTGCATTTGAATCTTAGGAGTGGGTCAGGGAGCGTCATCAGTGGCGCGCGAGATGCGGTGATAATGATGTAAGTGACGTTGTTGCATTTTAATGTTTTGTTAGTCTTGCCCACGAGACGCGCCGCTGCTGAGTTATTCATTCAAAATATTAGAGAAATATAGAAGCTCAATGCGGAGAAGATCTTGATTAGGTTAAAACCGAAACCAAGCCATTCACACAGGACGCATATTCAGCGAATTTTTTTAGATGGACAAATATGACTGCTGCACTTGCGTCTCACACAAGAGATTATTCCTCTGGTTGAGGCTCTGAGAGTAAATTCATGTTGCAACAAAGATTTGTGACATTGAACCATCACATTCCAAAGAACTTATAAACAAAAATTACCATGATCACAGTCAAAACACAATATAATTGTGTAACTCCTTTTTTTCCATAATTCACAGAGCATGAACCAAGGAGGATTAAAACAGACACTTTTCCTAAATGGAATCCATGTTTGTTATGAATATTATAGTAAGAAATATTACATGAGCAAGAGTGCTTGTGTACTGAATATCATCCCGGCTGTGATTCAGGTGCAGGTTATCACATTCCTGCAACAGTACGAGCAAAGCACAGTGTGTACTTGAAAAATTGTTTCATGTTAAACATGACAATGTTTTCCCTGCTCAAAGCGTTCTGTAATCACTCTGGGTTTCCATTTCCTGTCCACTAGCGAGAAAAACCCCACTCTGAGTGAGAAAACACTGACACTCTGACATTCAAAACCATGTTCCTCACTCCAGCCAATCAGATCAGATCAGAATAAAGGACTACTGACCCGAATTCAAATCCTGGCTCGAGGACCTTTCCCTTTAACATTTAGTGTACATATATTACTGATTAACCCATCATGTTTTCAACCCAGTTACACTCTTTGTGGGTCCTAATTAATTTCTTAATCTCTTTGAGGCAATCAGAGAACATCTGTGTCTTAACTGTGTGAGACCTATAACTAACCCAGCCATTCATTGTTATTTATGGGTTGCCTGACTCTTATTTGTTGATAGCATTGCTCTAGTTGTGGACCATCTTTAGACAAGCTGTTTAATGTCCCCTCAAACTGTTCTTTACTGTCTTTCCAGTGTGATCTAAGCAGTAAGCAACAAGTGAATATGCATGAAGCGAGCTGAACCTTCATGTGAGGCAGGGTTAAAAACAGCACGCAAGGAGAATAGCTGGCGAACTTCCTCCAAGATTGAAAACACCTTTGGAACGAGAGCTGTAAACACGATGGGGTGTTTTTCTATCCTTTTATACTTGGAACATTCCTCATCTGTGGCTATTTAGTTTGCTGGGGGTTGTTGTGGTAAAGAAAGAATTTCTGCTGTTCCGAAACTAAAAACAGAAAATCTGTCGAAATCTGCAAATAATAACAATTTGCATACCAAGACGAAAATCCAAATTGCCCGGCTGGTATATTAAAAACAATATTCAATAAAACTACAAAGATGGGACTGAAGCCATTTCATTTTCGTGTGCTGGGGATGTTGGGGACACTTAACCCCAGCAATGCGCTTTTATGAGTTTGTTATTTTCATTATTTAACAATCAGTCCAAAATAAACGGCTGAGCATAAAACCTAGACCAAACGGATCCTCCATGCAATTGGACGGAAATGCGAATTTCTCCAAAATAAGATGAGAATTTGTAAAGCTATAAAGAATTACGGTCAACATATTTGTGTGCTCTGCTATTAACAGTTACAGATGCTTAATGGCAACTGCATGTATGCATCTAAAGACTAGATAAAAGTGTACGTGAGTAGCGTAAAAGAATCTTAGACCACATGAACGAGCCAAAAATTATGCAAGGTCGGGTCAGAGCATAAGAACCACATTGGGCAGGGAGATCAGTAGAAACATGTGCACATACTGATATGTTTGAGTAAACTGACAGAGCAGAAACTATGCTGAGGGGGTCCTCCACATGTTGCTGAATGCTTCGGAGATGATGCTGTGTAGATTAACTCAAGGCATGTTTCCTGAAACCCAGCAAAACACTCTTCTGGTTCGATCCTGCAGCCCGCTGGGAGTACTGGCACACCCAATGACTAACAAGAAATGACATACATACAGCTCTGGTCTATTTTTATACGATAAATCGCCCACCCTATGGACTATGCTGTCCCCGCAGTGTTCAAAGAGATGTGAATGTGTTTGATGAATGTTGTTCTAGAGCGCTTACTCAGAAACAACACACGAGATGGAAAAAAAGCACCGTAATTAATCTTACATAAAACCACTAATAACCTTTCAATGTGAATAATTCACTACAATGCAAACTATAAAAATAACAACATGTGCAAGAGCTAAAGATGTTCAAAATATGTTTAATATGTATAACAATAATAGTACTGCTTAACTAATGGAAATTGGTACTCAAACCTGGCTATTCACATCTAGTTCACTTAGGCTGCGTTTACACTTGGCATTAACATGCGACCTGTATCCGGATGTTGTCCACATACACATTGAAAAGACAAGTGTAAACGCTAGGGATGTAACGATTAACCGCGAGCCGGTTGAAAATCGATTTAAATATGTGACGATTCAAATCGGTTGAAATGCTAAACAAATCGCGATTCAATTAGGGGCAGGAGTTTATATGAATGTATGTCTGAGGGGAACTTTGAGGAAAACAGAAAAGTAAAAAAAAACAAATTCATGACCCCTTTAAAATGAATCTTTATTCAGAAATTAAAAGCAAGCTCATCAGAAGATGTGCATTTTATATTACAGTTGAATCTTTAGTCCTACGATTTCATGCAAAGGTCAAGCTTTACGCATTACGTCTTGATAAACAAGTAAACAAACTGTCAACCAGGCCACAACCCAACAGCTTAAGCTGAACATTTGTAGCTTCTTAACTCAAGAACCAGGACAACTTTAAAGCCACTGCCACTAAGGAGATGAACAACATGTTCTTCTTCAGCTCAGATAAGCAAATATTTGGTCCAGAGTTAAGTTGGTTTATGTCTGTTAATTGGGCCAGAGTGTGTAGAGCGATAGATCGGACAGAAGCACAGCAAAGCATTTCTGCACGCCATTTAAGAAATGGACAGGACATGGGCTTGGAATTCTCCAATTAGAGCAAATGGAGGCGACTGGGATAAACCTTTAAGTAAACGATGATTATGCATTTGTTGACAAAAGGAAAGGCTGATATCAGAACCACATGATTTTCCGAGGATGTGGGCAGATGTATTCACAGATTTCAGGAACTTTGAGGAAAACAGAAAAGTAAAAAAAAACAAATTCATATTCTCCAGCAATGCCACATTTATTCTATTTAGAATGATCGTATAAATCAAGTGGGCACAACTGACCAATGGCAAAAACTGAAAATCCATCACAGAGAACAACTGGGAAAAACAAAGACGTAGAATACATAGGTTTTTTTTTTCTCATTCAGCTACTTACAGAAGGCAGCTGTTTATGAATAAATGACGTGGGTCTACTTTTGGGTTTCAGTTTTCAGAAAACAGAACAAAAACGACTCCTTACCATCTCCACACCCTGGGGAAATGCCGTGCCATCCCAGTCCTTTTTGGGGAAGCGCTGAATGATCTTGCCACATCCTTCACCAGATCCTAAAATTTATAGATTAAAAAAAAAAAAGAGCATTAACTGAAATGTGCAATTTCAGCACTGTTTTTATTTATTTATTACATTTTCAAAACAGCATGAACGGTAGTATGGGGCATATCAGGACAATCCTATGACTTTTTTATCTACTGGAACTAGGCTTGCCACGATAGACGGTGCTGGCGGTGATACCGGTGTTAAGCCGCAACACCATTTACGTCACTTGCCCACCGCGGCACCGACCCCCACCGTCGTTTTGATTTTTTATAGACATTAACTGAAATGTGCAATTTCAGCACTGTTTTTATTTATTACATTTTCAAAACAGCATGAACGGTAGTATGGGGCATATCAGGACAATCCTGAACATAAAAAAAAATTGTTAAACGTGATCACAATTCCAGGTTTCCTAACTGGCACAATTACTCCTCATGCATTCCTTCTGGTCTTTTTGGCGTCCAAAACCATCTTTCCTGGCCCATTTTTTTTTGATGACAAAGAAAGCATTGTATGCACAGTGCCAAGAGGGTTTCGTCAACTAGCGTTTACTAGTGTAAACATTGTAATGTGACAATATCAGTCCTTATGAACACAAATACCCCTGGCAGACAACTAAAACTAGAGAATGCAGCACATTTTAATGGAATAGTTTCTAAGAGGTCAAAGCGACCGGGCCTTTAACAGCAAATCTTAAGGCTCCATATCTTAACACAGATGTGGAGTTAAGACATTATCAAATACTATGAAAGAAAAATGAAGTAAGTACTAGATATCATTCTTCATTTGCTTATCTGGGGAATACATTACTGCCTGTGTTTTTGATCATATCTGGAACAGGGAATTGGACCTGGAGTATATACTGGGTCAGGGGACGTTGGAGATCTTTACAGTTTATCATAATGTGAGTTTGGAAAGACCACTGACAGTATGTTATTACAGAAAGACAAAACAGGCCAGATATGTACTGGACGAACGCATTGCTGGATTGTCACATTTTTGGAGTAAATGACTGATCAGATGAACCTGGAGTATATACTGCGTCAGTGGACGTTGGAGATCTTTACAGTTTATCATAATGTGAGTTTGGAAAGACCACTGACAGTATGTTATTACAGAAAGACAAAACAGGCCAGATATGTACTGGACGAACGCATTGCTGGATTGTCACATTTTTGGAGTAAATGACTGATCAGATGACAGACAACTTCATAAAGATATTGCTCTTGGAAATGGGCTGTTAAAATTTGAGAAAATACATTTTGACTGTTTGGGAAATTGTTTGCCAAGATGTGCAAATGTGTGTTTAGTAGAAATATTGAATCCTAATGTAAAATGACATTACAGGGATAGTTCACCCAAAAATGAAAATTCTGTCATCATTTACTCAACCTCATTCCGTTCCAAACCTGTATGAATTTTGTTCTGTGAAACGCAAAAGATATTTTGGAAAACGTCTCACTGTTTTTTGTGTATACAGCGATAGTCAGTGGGGTTCAATGAGGGTGAGTAAATCATCACTTTTGCGTAAAGGGTTTAATAAATCTGTTTTAATAAAATCTTCTCATTGATACAATCATATATTTATTTGACACAGACGTGTCGCTTTTTTCTTTGAAAACAGTAGTGCTGACAGTCAACTTGCATCTAGATAAAATCATAGCTTTAAAAGTCAAAACATGGGCTTGGGCTACACTAAACACACTAAGCACCTCTCATGGGTTTATGTGGACCGTGCAGAAAGATACAAGCTGTTTTGATTCGCAGGGTCTCTGATTCCCAGTGTAATACTCTGCAATGCCATCAAACACTTGATCTGCCAAAGAGATCAAGGTTATTCAGATTATGGATTAGGAATATACCTTCATATACACATTTATAAATATAACATGACTATAATAAACCTAAGCATATTTATTTAAAAAGATAGGTAACACTTTAGTATAGGGACCAACTCTCACTATTAACTAGTTGCTTATTAGCATGCCTATTACTAACATATTGGCTGTTTGTTAGTATTTATAAAGCACATATTCTGCATGACCATATTGGTACCGAAATTGGTACCGAGAACTGTGGATTTTCACTGGTATTAGTACCGAATTCTGAAATTTTGGTACCGTGACAACACTAGTTTTCAGTATCTTTTCCATCCAATGAAAGTCAAAGGGGTCCAATGTTGTTCGGATGCCATTTAGTTTTGAAATAGCTTCTTTTGTTTTCCACAGAGAAAGCAAAGTTATTTGAAACGACACGAGGGTGAGTAAATGATGACATAATGTTCAGTTTTGGGTGAACTATCCCTTTAACTGTTTGTAATCCATAGACACGATAATGACAATTGGCTTACATCTTGTGTATTTTATATTTGCACACAACAGCACTTGAGGTTGAATTAATCCGAATAAAATGATGGTTTCTCGACTCCTTTTCATGTTTGTTACCCAAGCTTTGTGTATTATCATGTACACACGCTATATAATTTGAATCTTACTGAATACCCTGTGAAGTCCACTATGCAGAGATCCATAGGGCAGAACAGTAGCTTTGATGTTGCGCTGTCAGTGTTTACCGGCATAGAGAAGCTATTAATCTCTGAGCTGGCAGGTTTCAGCCAATCAGCACTTGAGAAATCCTCACATTCCACAACATTTTACTCTAATTAGTTCATATTTCCCTCACCGTTCATCACTGCTTGACATTAACATTAAATGTAACTGCCGTGTCCTGATTCTGAACCCCACAACAGAACAGAGACACATGATAGTAAGTATCCACTCTCAAAAACATCCTGTGAGAAACACTGTCAAACGACATTAACATTAAATGTAACTGCCGTGTCCTGATTCTGAACCCCACAACAGAGACACATGATAGTAAGTATCCACTCTCAAAAACATCCTGTGAGAAACACTGTCAAACGGTATTTTCCACTCCATATCTCATGTTGAAAACTTGTTTAAAGAACATTTCAAACAACCGAAGTCTTAAGCAACAGTCATGACACAAACATCAAACTCAGCTAACGGAGTAAAATCTGGTCCTGACATGTGCGTATCTGCACTATGACCTGAAGACACATCCTACAGCAGAAAACAACACATCCAAATCTTGTCGTGAGGTGTGGTTCTACTTCGCGTTGGAGGAAAGACAAAACAAGGATTCAGTATCCAAAACTGGAGTCAGACATTTACACAAACAACTAAAATGTACTCAATCATATTTTACATTTTTCTGAACAAAACCTGAGTGGTGCTTGAACATGCAACACATGCCGCCACAATGCAGAGGTGCTGTAGATGGTTGCAAGGGCATTGCTATGTAATTTCAATATCATTTGTAGCAATTCTAGCATAATGTTATTGGTATTGGTAGGGTGTTCTAGATGGCTGCTGCTAGCTGTTGCTGAGGGAAAGCAGACACGGCTTTGCAATATATAGCTATTTTATTTTGTATTAATTCTTTGCTTATCAGAAAACTTAATTCTGATTGGTCAATTATGTCATTCTGTTGTCAAATACTTGAGTATAATGAAGTTAGCCTAAACTGTATATTTGACCTCTGTCTCTGGCAGCTCCTACTACACTGTGCAAGTTTCAGGTCGCATATGACTTGTAATAATTTCGAATGTATTTGGCAAGCAGTTTTGTTACAAACAGTATAATGTATAGTCAGTCAATCATTATTGCAAATAAACCTGATGTGGTATAATTTTGTTATTATGACTATCTAGTGCCTTGCATATTATTTGAGAAAAGTAAAAAAATTATAATAAATAATAATAATAATAATAATAAAATTATTTATGAATACAGTCATGGCCAAAAGTTTTGGCAGTGACATACATTTTGTGTTTTGCAAAGTTTGCAGCTTCAGTATTTGTAGATTATTTTTCCACATGTTTCTATGGTATACTGAAAAAAATATATAAGCATTTCATACATTTTCTACTATCAAGTATACTACTTGTTGCAAATAGTGGCAATTATCTGCACTTCAGTATTGTAGTACATTATAAAACAGTATGCAATAATAACGTATTGAGTGTAAATTATAATTTTAATTTTATTTATTAAATGGATGCCACCTTATTGGTACAATGAAGCCCTCCCTACACCTACCCTAACCCTACCCGATACTTTATTTTAAACTTTTTGATTATTTCCTTAATTTTTATTGAAAATAAATGCCTTTACGATGTGATACGAGATTTGAAAAAGGAAGAAAAAAAAAGTTCGGCAAAAGGCGGGATTGAACCTGGGTCGATCGCGTCAAAATGCCAACGACAAGCGCTTAACCATCTGCGCCATTGGAGCTGATGTTTTACAGCCACTTTTAACTAAATGTAAATAGACACCCCGTATTTTTTATTCCATAGTAAGGGCAATTCATACAATACATTTAAACTGAGCTACTTTAATACCATCTCCGAACTTTCTACCACGACTCTGCTGTTCTTCGGCTGGTTCTTCCCTGTATACGTTGATTGACAGATGTATCGTCCAGTCAGCGGTGAGTAATCCCAAACCAATGGCGCTGTCTCAAACTATACCTACCTTTTCCGGTTTGTCTGATTTGTCGTTGTGTTTTCTGACTTGTTATAATGTTTTCTGAATTGTTGTTGTGCTTTCTGAATTGTTATTTTGTTTTTTAGACTTGCATTTGCGTTTGTAATTTGTTATTTTGTTTTCAGAATTGTGATTTGCTTTGCACTTCTCGGCCACCGTAGATCACTCTAGACAATAATCTAGAAACAATGTGAATGAACACCACAACAGCTTAAGCAGCAAACTTTCATGTCACTGCCAAAACTTTTGGCCATAACTGAATATTTTACATTTATAAGTATGCCCCTCGACTTTTATTAATAAAATAGCCTAGATACTAGATCGCTACATTATTAGGATCAAAAAACAGTGAAATCTATTTTTGTTTTTTTGTAAAAAGTTCATTTTTTGGCCAATGAAGCTTTTAGCAATTATTCAGCTTGTTTAGAGAGATGCGCAGT